CACATCCCGGTCAGCAGCAAGCCGCCGAATGTCGGCCCAAACATGAGCATTAGCAAGACGCTGAATTTGAAACTCGGTCATGTTGCGCAGCTTGCGGAACCTACGGAAGCAACTAAGGCTATCAGTCACAAATTCCACACTGCCAGTCGTGAACATCAACAACTGACGAATAGCAAAAGCCTCACCCATAGGAACCGTTTGCCGGCGACCTGGCAATGGGCCACCTAACGTACCCAGAACTTGATGCGGGGCTTCTGCTTTGACAACAGCAACAGCCCAAGAACACAAACGAGTGCGCCTATCACTGGTACCAGAACCTCCACTGCCATCAGTGCCGAACTTGAGGCCACTCATGTCAAGCAACTGCGAAGCAAACAATCCGGTGCGCTCAACCGCACTAGCCTCCGGACCGTCCCAATCAAGATAATACGAATCCGGCAGCGTGGTAAGGCGACTAGGCATCAAACCTCTAAGCCACAGGCACTCCTGTTCCGGTTTCAAAATGAGCGGCTGCCACTCTTCTGGCACATCACCAACTCTTCGAATCACATAAGGACACTGCCATAACTTGTGCATCAAAGTAGGCGACAGACAACCACAACCAGAACACACTTCCTCAACGCCATTGTCAGCTGTGCCTAGAGTGCCTTGAAAAACATGCAACAAAGCATTATACTGCTTAAGGTCACCCTGCTTCAGAAGGCGCTTCAGCTGCTTTCGAGGAACGGTGAGATCAACTCCATCAGCAAGACCACGACCACCTTGATGTCGCGATGCTTCAACCCACATACGGTGCTCTTGTTGCATTCGCACAACGTGCAGCAACCTAGCACAGTCACCAATCGGCCCAAGGGGGTTCCATCGAACATCACTCGGATCACGCCAATCATCAAGCGCACGAACACTCCAACCAAGGTCTTTGAGAACACATAACGTGGCTGTCAAAGGGCCTCTGCCATACAGCCAATGTTTGCTGGAGTTCATGATCTTGTCAGCATGGAGCATCCACGCTTTGTCTAATGTGGGCAAAACCTCCTCTTTGACATCCCGCACAATCTGCAACCAAGTAGCCAACTGAACCTCAATTACCGAGTGTTGGGGATCAACATGCTCATCCATGAAAAGGCGATAGGCGACCAGCAAGCATCCCAAAGGCTTCCTGAAACCCGCACGCTTGGCAACTTGCACGCGATAATGGTGCAATGTGGACGTGGCAACTCCCAAAGCCTGAGAACCCCACATGGCTGTAGGGTGGATGTTGCCAGTGAAGAGCTGCAGCCGGGTCCTTTTTGGAAGCGAGGCCAATCTGGAGGCTCGCCCAAGTCCCTTGCGCAGTCTGGCAGCTGCAACTCCAACCCGACGAGCTTTACCAAGCGTTGACTGCACCCCGAGATCCTTCATGGAGTAGTGCACTGCGGGAAAAACCACCGTAGGGTACTGCCCCATCTGTTTCTGCAGCTCCTTTTGCACCTGCTTGTGCGAGACCAAAAAGCCAGACTTCTTCACTGATACCCGCAATTTCAACAAGCTTTCAACCTGGTTCTTCAACTCAACGTAGAGCTCCAAACCCACGCGGGCCAATGCAACAGGGTTTCTGGACACCAGGTCAAAAGCCATGTCATCCACAAACAACGAGACCTCGGGGCGGTATCGACTGTTGATAAACTCCAAGCAGTCAAGCATGTACAATTTAGTGAGCGACACCGACAGCGAACACCCTGGCAGGACACCACGTTCAGGTAATATCGCCTCAGATGCCATCTCCTCGGCCAAAATGAGGCGGGGTCCAGTATGTACAGGTAAGGCCAATGCAAGCAATGCCGGCGGATATTGGTGTTTCAAGGCTTTCTGCAAAAGCACCTGATAATCCATGCGGTCAAAGCAGTTTTGCAAATCAACCAGCAGGGATAACTGAAAGAGCGGTCCAGCAACAAGCATTTCGGCCTTCAGCAGTCGGCTTATGTTCGACTGCAGAACTGAGCGCTTCTTGACAGCGTAGTCATACGGCATCCTCTGCTTCATTACAGCCAGCCACTCATCCAACAAGTGAAGACGAGCTTTGACCAATAGCCGATACCACAAGGAAGTCAATCCAATCGGCCGCTCCGCTTCATGAGTTTTGGGAAGCATGGCGAAACCCACACAACAGATCGCCTCAGGCCATTGGAAATGCCGTTCAATCTGCTGATACATGTACGCCCAAGCACTGAGCGCTTCCTTTGGCAATGCTTTCAGGTCACCGACCTGCCATCCATCAACACCACCTCGTTTGCGAGGCATTTGCTGTATCATGCAATGCAGCTGCCTGGAGGAAATCGCCTTTTCAGTCTCTAACTGCTTTCTGGCAGCCTGACATAGCTGCACCCACTCAGGCCAGTGAAGATAGATTGGCTCATGGCCTGCATGATGACCCCAAATGCCTTCCCAGTGGGTTCTGCGAGCCTCTGGCCGATCACTTAGCAACAAGCCGTCATAAGGTCTGAGGAAGCATTCGTCGCGATCCTTGCGGACGTAAGCATGCAGCCCTCTGATTGACGCAACAGTGTCCTCAAACTTGGCTTGAATGTGTTCCTTTCTGCGCAACCACTGCAACTTTCGGATCTTCGCAAACTGACGCATGACGGACTCGTGAATTCCTGGACTGTACTCCTCCACATTGGGCAGAACAGCCTGCAACCCCAACAATCCAAACGGCAGTTTGTACTGGGAACACCACCATCGCGGCAGTTCCAAAAGTTGCTTTTGCAAGACCTGTTTGAGTCGACTTAGCAGAACTGGTTGTTTGGCAGAGGCCGCTAGTCGCACAATGTCCCGAACCAATCGCTCACAACCACTCCAAAAGTTGAGCTCAGTGGAATCCCAACATTGGCCGGGCATCTTACGTTCAACTCTGGCGGACTGCACCACCACAATGCTTACTCCTCGCCCCGGCATAGGTGCATCAGTACAAACCGACGACAAGTAGGCCTCTGCTTGCCGGGACCATCGAGCGTAATGAGCCCCGATAGCACTGCACTCAGCAGTAACTTGAGCATGTCCTGGGCAAACATACTCACCATAATCACGCTCATACTCCTGCCACTGCCGACGCGGACCCGGCAGGGCAGGAATCACCCCGATGTCTTTCAGCACTGGAACAGTCAATGCGCTCAACGCCCCATCTATACAAATGCGAAGTCCATAGTGAGGCCGGAAAGGCACCGCCAATTCGACTTCAACACTCACACAGCCAGCTAATTCATTAGCCACAACAAGATAATCGAGCGTCGAGCCTGTGGAGATGGTGGCTCCCGATGGGGCAACTATGGTGCCATGGAGCTTTCTGGGAAAGCCACTCGCATAGAGCTCCTGTGGCTGCGTGTTGTAGTCTGCAGCAATCAGCCACGGGCCCTGGAAGCTGCATACCACCGCTATCAAATCCTTCATCAAAAGGATATTCTCCGCCTGATATAGACCGCCATCTTTAAAATATGCAACCACCAAGAGAAGATCAAAGCCAGTCCGCCGAACTACGACCGCATTCCATCGCGCATGCTGTTGCTGCATCACATCAACAGGGCAGAGGTAGCTTCGGGCTACTGCCATAACCCCTGCGGAACTGCCATGGTCCGTCGGATCAGCTGGTGAGAAGGCCCCTCGAAAACCTCTCTCCTTGCAGGTGGCTTGCATCAACCCTAAATCCTCTTTCAGAACATGGTGCTCCACCAAAAGCAACGCGTGTTCAGGCTGCTGCAAAACGAACTGCTGGGCATGCCGACTCCAGGAAGTAATGTTAGCAAAGAATACCTTGAAGGACTTATCCGCCTTGGCTGAGGCAAGCTCCTCCGGAGGCGAATCCCCGGGTTTGCACTCCGATATGGCATGACAAGCCGTCGCCAAGCTGCAGAGCGCATCAGCCGATGGTTCAATCAACACTTGCATGCAGAGGTTCTGAATGCGATCACTGGGTGCCGCACCAAGCAAACCCCTGCCCAACTGCCATGACATAGCAAGCTGCATCCAAAACTGACTCAGCTGTAAAGGAGAAATCCGAGTCAACAGCACTTGCTCCAACTCAAGGCTACCCAAACAACACTCCATCGACAAATCGGCCCTGCGGATCAGGATCTTCCGCAACATCAAGAACCCTGCGCTTTTTGCGCTGCAAATCCATCTGCGCACACCTGCGCAACAAATTGTCCAAGAGCTGTCGCTGGTCATCCGTTTGCAGCGCTCCCTGCAATTCTCTGATCTGATCCTGCAGTTCTCCGTCGACCTGCATGTCCTCCTCCTCAGGGGGAGGGCCATAAGGTTCCAACTGCCTGGATACAATTTGCTGGGAGTACTGTTTTGTGAGACGGTCCATCTCTTGCTGGGCGCTGACCAGGTCCTCCTGCAACTTTTGCAGCTGTTGTTCTTGCTGTTGCAGTTGTGCCCGGGCTTGCGTGACTTTGTACTCTCCCTGGAGCTTCTGTTGGCCCAAATTGCGCAACACTCCGGCTTGCGCCTTAAAAGCCCGCGCCAAGGCCACATCGGCATCCTGGGGCTCATCTCTGAAATCCTCAGGTTCCTGGGGCACCAACTGCTGGAGGGGTTCCAGCGCGTGCCGGATGTCATCCATCTTGTCCCCGGCAACCTTACCGAGGGCCTCAACCACACCATCAAGCACCTGCTTGAGCGAAGCACCCAAACTGTCCTGGACCCCTTGTGGGCTGGGTGGAAGAGCCCAGCTGTTGTACTGACCGCTCCCCACTTCACCCCACCAAGGTGTGTGTCCTGCACTATTGGCCGTTGGCTTGCGCCATGGCCGAGTCTTGTGGTGATCCTTCCAAGGCGCCCGATCTCTGGTGGGCTTGGCCCAGGCATTAGCCCAAGCAGTATCATTCCAAGGACTACCACACTTAGCACACGCCCAGCTGCTGACCCGACGATGGGCCCAGATCCAGCTGTGACATTTGGGGTTGGTGCACACGCTGTATGCATTGCTCTGTGGCATCCTAACAAACAAGCACCTGATTGCATCAGCTCGGGCCAGATTCTGCTTCCAAGAGCTTGACTCCCCAGGCGAATCCCATAAACGATCCCGGGGCTCCGGTCCAACCGAAGGTCATCGCAGTATATACCGCGGTGACTCCTTCCGGAAGCCCAAGCTCAGTCCCGGGCAGATCAGCGCCAAAGAGCGGCCCATCCTCACTTTGAATCCATAACCACTTAAAGGCGTCACTGACATCCTTCTTGGCCAAATAGATTGGGATGTGAGGGAAGCGAGTCTGCCACCAGAGGATCAACCTTGCTATCTCGGAGTGTCTCGGCTGCAGCGCCGGGAAATACCGGTGTTTGCTGCAGTGTTCATTTACACGTCTGGCGTCCCATATTAGCCGTCCTTTCGCGGACACAGTCCTGTTAGGCAGCATTTTGGGGACACGCGCCAAAGGAACGGAGATCACCCCTTCAAGAAGAGTAGCGTCGCCAGGGCACGTAAGTAGGAGAACCCTCCCTTTACTTACATCCTTCCAGATCTGCTCGAACGCCTCGGTGAGGTGCCCCTGCAGAGACGGGTGCGGCGTGGCTCTCACGCGCTGGCGATCCCCTTCGTAGCGGGCGTCAACTCCCTGGGTGGCCGTGTGTCTAAGCCAGTGAAGCAGGTCTGAAGGGAGCAACTCGTCCAGGGCTGCCTCGAAGAGACCCTTGAAATGGTCGCCTTGACGTAAGGTCCATTCTCTGCGCAGGGCCCTCAAGGCTTCTGGAAACGACGGGGCAGCCGCGCGGGCTTTGGTGCCGAGGCGCGCTGCTTCCGCAAACCTCTTCGGATCATAAGGGGCTCCCGCGACGAGATCTAAGTAGGCTCCGATAGCAGCTCCCAAGTCTGCCGAAGGCGGCTCGGCCAGGGGTGATCCTTCTGGCCATAACTCGAGGGTTTCGGTTTTCTTAACCGCACCCGACCGGGCGGGAAACCCGCCCGGGTGCCTTCAAGCACAGCCTGTCCAGATGGACCCTGAGGGGCTCGGGGGCACGTCGGACCTTGCTGGGTCCCTGCCTCAGCTGTCTCCGCACTGTCCAAGACCGTGGGGGGGCGGAGAGGCAGGGCGCACTGCTCCCCCCCCCTCCCCCCCCATCCCGAGCCGAAGAGGCCCGCGGTTCGAGAGGAAAAGCGAGCAGAAAATCCCAGAGAGCGGACGCGGCGCGGCAATCCCCAAAATGGGTGTGGCCGCCGCGACAAAGGCGAGAGACGCCGGTCCAGGCACGCGCCGGCCATCCCCGGACCAACCACGAGAGACAGCCGCCCCCGCGCAGCTGTCGACGCGCGCACGAGCCCATGCCCGCTCGCAGGAGAGAAGGACAAAGGTCTTGTGGGTCCAAAGGCGGTGAGTGACCGGGCCAGCGAGGGCCCCGGCTTGACCGCGAGCTGCGATGTGAGCCTGTAATACTCCGAGGAACTCGAGAAAAGCATGAAATGGGCCGGCCGGCATAACCAGCTCTGGTCCCACCCATAGGAGGACACGGTCGCCCTCGAAGCTGTCAAGGAGCTGCAAGAGAGCTGCCGCAGCGAAAGCCCAGCACGGGTCGCCGATGGCGACAGCGCCAACGATCGGGCCCGGACAGCCGATAGCGACGGCCGAGTGGCCTGCCAGCGACTCACATCCGAACAGGCGCTCAAGGTCGGACGGGGCGAACCTCTGAGGAGCGACAGGCGCCCCGGGCTTGAAACAGGCCTCGGGGGAAACGCCGCCGCGTCGCAGTGGTTGCAACCCAAAAGTCGGCGGAACGAAACCAGAGTGGAACGCACGCGCAGGGGCATCGGACCGGCAGACTGGACAAGCCAAAACACGCCGGGCCGGAAGGCAGGCCTCGGCAGGCTTGGCAGCCTCAAGGTGGGGCTCCCACCCAACCATTAAGAGCTCCCGCCCAAACGGATGTGCGACAGAGGCGGGAGGGAGAAGGAGCCGCATGTGCCCTTTGTGCACGAGTAACCAGACCACAGGCCCACCAGGGCCAGAGTGGCTACCGACCAGGTATTCGACAAGTGCGCTGTCGTGCGGCTCCACTCGCCAGACGCCGAAGGTCAAATGCTCCCAGGCCGGCTGCGGGTATGCGACGAGGGTTCGGTAGTCCCGATCGTGGCCGAAGTGCAAAAGATCATGGTTAAACACTCGGAAGTCGGCCTCAGCTCGGGTGAGGTACTCCGGTGTCGGCCCCAACTGTGCTTCAACCTCCCGCGCTGAGTGGTACATGGCTTCTCGTGCTGCTTGGCCCAAAAGCTGGGCGGCGGCCAGCGTAGGGAGCTCTCCTTCGGTGGAAAGGACACCAGCGGCAACGTGGAGCAGCATACACTGCTTGGGCTCTTCAGTCTCATTGCGCCCTAGAAGAGCTTGCATTTCTGGACTGAGGGGAAGCCGATCCTGATAATCAAATTGGCGCCAGTGAGCTCCATTGTACTCGAAGGTCCCGTATCCAATGTCCCCATCCCAGCTGATGCGCCCTACAGTAGCAGCTGCAGTGACAGAACCAGCACGGGAGAGGCGTTGGGTGGAGTCGAGGTACTCAGCCGCCTGCGAGGCCAACTCCGGACCGCCGAGAGTAGTTGCGACCTGGAAGCAGGCCTGCAACCGCTCCTGCGGGGAAGCGGGCGAATCGTGGTGGAGCAGGTAGTTCCGAACGAACACGGTGAGCAGGTCTGGCATTGCAGAAAGGGGTGGGTCCTGTGAAGCGAGTAAAGCTTCAACCGCCCGCATTGCACGGGTCCGCTCCTGAAGGTCAAGCCCGGGGGATTCATACCCGGCAGGCAGGTCTGCGGCGGTGGCCTTGCCTTGGCCGTGATCTTGATCTTGATACCAACTGTAGTCAGCGCCCTGCACGAGCTTGCGTAGGCCTTCTTCTTGAAGGGTGTATCCCCCGTCTCGGAGCTCTACGGGGGGTTCGGGAGGGAGAGCCTGGTTGCTTTGCCCGGGCTCGGTACGAGCCTCGGGAAGCTGAGGTTCAGCGCCGAGTTCGCCCGCCCGAGTTCCCGGGGTGGGTTCGGGCGCTGACTCAGCAGGGGTAGCTCCCGTCGCATCCCCGGCCCTATTGGCTTTCCGACCCGGCCTGCGCTTGCCCCCGCCTTCCTGGACCTTGGCGGCCTGCTCCTGGGCTTCCAGGCTGCGCAGGCCCGTCATTTCCTTGACGAGCTCGTCGGGGGACCGCTTGGCGGAACTCCGCAAACCCCCCCTACGGAGGAGCTGCAGTTTAATGGAGTAGTCGAGAGCCTTCCACTTGACCGACCCTTTGTGCGACAGGCTGCAGTCTGGTTTTTTGCACCCCCGATGGGTGAAGAAATCCCAGCACTGGAAGTGCCCTTCAGCATCCCTGGGTCTGTGTTCAAGCGCGCGGGCGGTTTCCTTCGGGGTTAGTCCCGGGCCGATGAGGGCAGGGGGAGGCCCCCCGCTTTTACCCCACCGGCACGCGTGGGCGGGTCGTCTGCCTTCCCCGGGTGTCCGGCTTGCCCGTCCGCCGAAGCGTCTCCAGCCCTGCCGCCTCCTCCCGGGAGGCCGGTTCGCGCTGGCCCCCGAAGGGCTTGAGCCCAAGCTGCCCGCGACAATTGGCGTTGGAGCTTGTCCAGCACATCGGTCGTGAAGTATTCACGCGGGTCCTCCAGCCGGAAGGTTCCCGGAAGCCGCAGCCAGGGCCGCCCTTCGGCATTGGGGGCAGTAGCAACAAATTTCATGCGGTCGAAAGTCGGGGACTCCTCTCGCATCAAACGTCGCAGGTCACGGTCAACTTCGCGGAGTTCTTCGAAGAAGCGGGCCCAGAGCTCTTCCCACACATCAAAAATAACATGCGCCGGCCAAGCGTAACTGTGCTCCTCGCCCAGCTTAGTCAGGTGGAGAGCTGCAGCTTCCCAGACGGCATAATGTTGTTGTCCGTAGACACAAGCCAGGCCCCATGCTTGCCTCAAAGCGTTTCTCAACCACGTGCTGACCGTCGTGGGTCCCCGTGGCCGCGCTTCAAGTTTAAGATCCGGCGGGCTTGAGTAGGCGTCGAAATCTGCCTCTTCAGTCTGCGGAAAATCTGCGGCAGACCCACAATGTAACGGCAAAGATTTAACGTCCTTGGCTCCGAAGCTTGCCGACGCCAATGCGTAGCACAGGCGGTTGGTCAAGTTGACCGGAAACCTAAGTTGCCGTAATTTTGGCCTGGCTTGGGTAGCCGCGGCCCGCAAACTGTGGAAAAGCTCTTTGCCCACCACACCTGCGGCAAGTGGCACGTCCAAGCTGTCGCAGCCCCGCAGGAGAAAGACAAGTCGCTCCTCTTGCCGCCCGATGGCCGACAGTTTCCCCTTCTCCTGCCCTTGGTCGTCTTTGACAAGTGAGCGGGCAATGGCTTGCAAAGCCTTCGCCGACTCGTCAAGCCTGGGGGGTTCGGCATCAGTGTAGGCTCCCGCATGGAAAGGCCGCACGGCGTTGGCGAGAACCTGATACCCCCCTGACAACGTGCTCGCTTGCATGAGGGGCCCCGCCGGGGGAGGATTCCCCTGCGCACCGGGGCCCTCTTCCCGTGGCCGAAAAAGGCTGGCGGCTGCAAAGGGAGTTCGTTCTGCGGGGGGAGCGCTCTGTCCGGCTTCAATAGGTGGAGCAGGAGTACCGGGCTCGGATCGAGCCGCAGGAAGGTCTACTCCCCCATATAAAGCAAGGGCGGGGTGACGCTGCTCCCCGCTAACGAAGGGAGGAGCCCCAGCTGAAAACTCAGTCCCTCCGCTCCCGTCGGTCCCGTGCAAGTAAGCGTGAAACGCCCCGAGCACAGGGTCGTGCTCCTGCGGCTGTCCCTGCTCGGCGATTTCCTCAAGGACCTTTCGGGCAAGCCGTGGGTATTGAATAGGGAGCCGAGGTAAGTACTCCCGAGCAGCCCCTTGCAGTGGCTGCGTGTACGGGTCCAGCCCATACTCCTGGCAGGCTGCAGAGTAAGCCTTCGCCGCTGGTTGTCCCAACGCTACGTTGCGCACCAGCTTGCCAAGGGCCTCAGCTTTGAGGTTTGCGTCCCCGGGTGGGTCGAGTCTCTCTTCGGAGTCTCGCCCCGCTCCCGTCTTAACGCGAATTGCCTTCAGTCGCATCGCGGGATCAGGCAGGTTCGCGACCTCGTCCCAAGTGAGGCTAAGCAGCTGCGGCTCTGTCTCTCCCTGTGCTCGTCCTACCCCAGGTGGAGTTGAGGTACTGCGAGGCTTAGTCTGGGAGTTCCTAGGTGTCGCAGGAGCGTCGGCCAGAGCCCTCGCATCCCCGGGCGTGGTAGCACGCCGCGAGGCCGGTTTTTCAAGCTCTGGAGGTCGTTTTGGGTGCGAGCTAGTTGGGGGTTTGCGTTCCTCCTTGGCCCCGTGGAGCTTGCACAGCCTTACCCCACCTTTGGTGGTCCGGCTCAGTTCCACGCAGCCTTCAACTGCGCACTTGCGTCGCGCGCTCGCATGCCCATATTGAGCGGAGTGCCTGGGGCATAGCCGGGCGTAGCAGCTGCCGTCTTCTTCCTGTAACCCAGCCTTATCGCTCACGCGCAGGTCCGCTGGCAAGATCTGGATACTGTCCCCGAGGGCCAGATCCTTGCAAGGCTCTTTGCACAACGCGTGCGTTTTGCCCCCTTCCTCCCACGCAAGCTGGTCGGCTTGGCACGCTTGTGCGTGGTCGTCGCCTTCACTCTCGGTCTCCGACCACTCGTGCAGGAGGCGAGAGGGCTCGGGGCCGTTCTCTCCCCCCGGGCGCGGACCGCGCCGCGGGCGTGAGCCACAGCCACAAAACTGACAACACCGGCGCCGGCAGGAGCAAATGCAGCCACCCAGCGACTTCCAGAGGTAGTATCCCTGGGCGCTGAGGAGCCACGTAGCCGTAAGGCACCTACCGAAGGGCCCTTTTCCTGCTAGCTCGGTGAGGTCCAGCTCTACCTCCCGAGGCACAACGGAGCTTGAAGTGACATGCACCTCCGCCGCTTCCGGTGCTGTGCAAGGTGATTGGGAGCAGAGGTGCACCCGGCAATTCGCTCCCTCCAAAGAGTGCCGCCAGTAGCGGTGTGAGCTCCCATGCACTGTGTCACAGGGGCAAGTAAACCCGTGCCGATTTGTACGCCCGCGGATGGTGCCGTGCCGCAAGCGGGCAAGTGCAGTCCCGTCCGTGACCAACAAGTCGAAAGGGGCTTGGCAGGTTCCCCTGCCTCGGACTTTGTCTTGGATGTACTGGGCGGTCCAAGCCACCTGTCCCGTGGGGCCGTACCACACCAGTCGGAACGGCGTGCGGCCGTGATGGGTCAAAACCTCATCCCACGGGGCGCGGCCCATGAGGTACTGAGCCAAGACGTAGGCGAACTTCGTCAGCGGCCGAAGGACCCAAACATAGGTCCAGTAGGCAAGCTGCGCGAGGGCCACCAATACCATGCCCGCCATAAGCCAGTAGACCCATTTGGCCGCCAGGCCTATGGAGACACATAGTATTCCACAGTACTCGATTCCCCCTTTTACAAACATGAGCAAGAATTTCATCGCGACTCGGAGGAACCAAGGGGGCGAGGGATCATCTTCTCGCGACCCTTCCTCTCCGGAATCCACGGCGGGGTCCATTGTGGATATTTTAACCCACAATTTCCACCATTCGCTCCACCAGCTGGCGTTACCCGGGCGCGAAGTCGCGCCACAGGTGCCATCCTGGTGTGCACACGTCTGGGGAGTTTCAGGTAGGCTATGGTTGGTAGACCATGGCCATTGCCACGGTAGTGTGCTATGAATTTGGCTGCAATAGAGCAGCACACTCAGTAGGGGCCTCATTTACCCTTGAGCCCGTGCTACGGGTAACAGGAAACTCTACGCCTACACGGCTATACAAGGCTACCAAAATCCTGGCTCCTCCCGCGTCCTCTGCCTACTTCTACTGCTTCTTCTACTACTGCTACTACTACCACCACCACTACCACTATCACTGGACTATCACCTCTATCACCACGACCACTGCTACTGCTGCCACCACCACCACCACCACAACCGCCGCCGCCACCACTGCAAGCCCACCACCATCAGCATCATCTCATCCTCATCATCACAGCAACACCCATGTGTAGCACTATGGCCATAGTTCCCATGGACCCTAAACCCTAAACCCCAACCATCCTCGTTACGGCTATAGTTCCCATACCACCGAGGCATTGGTCCTCCACAAGCGCATTCTTGGAGCCTGTCTTGCAGATCGGTTTAGGGTTTAGGGGTTTAGGGTTTAGGGTTTAGGGTTTAGGAGTTTTGGGGTTTAGGGTTTAGGGGTTTAGGGGTTTAGGGTTTAGGGGTTAGGGTTTAGGGTATAGGGTTTAGGGATCGTTCGAGCCTGGGTGGAGGATCAAAAAAATATAAAAAGGATCAAAAACAAATTTAGGCTGAACGGATCAAGAAAAAATTTAGGAAGGATCAAAAAACAATTTAGGGATTGGAGATTTGCTGCAAACAACGGCAAGTGCTATTCCAATATCTCCGCGTGGCCGCCCCCAGCTCGTCTCTGCCACCCACCCTTCCTACCACGGCGCCTCCCCTACCAGTGGCAGCTCGGAGATCTGAGGTTTGCGCGACGGAGATACTGTAGTTGTGTTACATGCTGGTCTATGGTTTCTATTATTGTATATTTACACGGGATTACCACAGATATGTGTATAGCCATATATATATATATATATATATAGATATACATTTGTTCATTTATGTATGTAAGTGTGTATACTGCTACTAGTAACAACAGTGCTCAGACTATTCATAATGATACTCATAGGAAAAGATGACAACATACAAATCACATGATTGTAATAACACTAACAGACTATGAGACAGTATGAACAAAACCATTTTTTGTAATCAATTCATAATACTAGAACTGAGAGAAAGAATAGACACAATACTAAAAGGAGACAAGAGTCTGCAGTATTATCGGCGTCTCCACAACTCCGAGGAACGTAGTACGACAATGAAAAAGGCACATGCGAAGACTAACAAACAGAAAAGCAGAGCATAAGCACGAACAAGTGCAGGTCGGTGTGTATGCATGTAGGCGTGTACGTGTGTATATACAAGCAAGAAGCACAACAAGACAGAAAACGAACGCAAAAACAACAAGCCAAGAAAGCAGTAAAAAGCGGAGCGTACCGAAGCCAAGAAGCCAAGAACCCGAGAAGCTAAGAAGCCGGCAAGGAAGCCTAGAAGCCAAGAAGCCAAGCAGCCAAGAAGCCAAGAAGCCAAGCCGCCCGGAAGCCAAGAAGCCAGGAAGCCAAGCAGCCAAGAAGCCAAGCCGCCCGGAAGCCAAGAAGCCAGGAACCCAAGAAGCCGAGAAGCCAGAAAGCCAACGGAGCCCAGAAGCCAAAAAAAGCCGCGGAGCCAGGCAGCACAGAAGCCAAGAGCCCAGAAGCCGAAGGCTGTCAAGCGAGGAAATAGGCAATTTACCTCGTAAACGCTAAATTTGTTTTTGATCCTTTCTAAATTTTTGTTTGATCCTTCCTATTTTTTTGTTGATCCTTTTTAGATTTTTTTTGACCCCCCTCCCTCGTTCGAATGGGCTTCAGAGGGCCAGCCAACCCTCACCCTCAAGCCCCACCCCAAACGAGCCTGAGGCTTCGATCTCGGGTTTCGGGTTCCGAGTCGGTCCTAGGGTTTAGGCTGTAGGTTATGGGTTTAGGATTTGGGGTTTAGGGTTTAGGGTTTAGGCTTAGGGCTTGCAAGCTTCTGAAGGCTTGTACGCTGCAGACGCTGATGTGTCCCGCAGCTTAGTGATCGAGGCACGCCGGGGTAGAGCAGTAAAAGCCCGCATCGCTTACGCCATTGCTGGAACACTGCAGAGACCTTTGGCAAGTTCGTTCATTGGCTAGGGCACTCACGACCGTTACCACTTGCATGGTAGCGTTGGAGCCTGACTTCCCGAATATCGTGGAGGTCAAAGTGGTTTGATCCGGGGAAAACAGCCTTGGTCTGGTCATCCCGACCGAGGATGTCAAGTGGAACGGGGTCCGCGGGGAGGACCCGAGAAGGAGTGCCGATCTGGGACGGAGATCCTGGGACTTTTGTGGAGTTTTCAGAAGCAGTGAGACTCTATGAGCAGGGCACGGCGCCGCACAAGCGGGCACAAGTGGGGCCCCGAGTGGCCGCAGAACTGACAGGAGCCGCGAGGAGATTCATATCTGGCCAGGCACCAGACTGGCTCTCCCACTATGGTGGAGCAGAGGCTTTGCTGAGCCATCTGCGCCAAGGGCTAGGGAAGCCTCGAGTGTCAGAGGTCACGGATCATCTGACGCGGCTCTTCAAGTACAGCAAGCGAAAGGCCGGCGAGAGCATCAATGAATATGTTACCCGGCGGAACGAGGTGTATCTTCGAGCACAACAGGCGATGGCGAGGATGCCAAGGACCGGGACAAAGTCCACGACCTCGAGCCGAGGCGGAAATGGTGGAGCGCCGATGTGGGAGACACCCACATGGAGCCGCCGCACCTCCATGGAGAATGTGGCAGAGGAAGAAGAGGCCGCCGACGAAGCGGCGGAGACCGACACGGCGGCGACGAGAACGTCATGGGGTTGGCAGCCAGACAACTGGTGGAGTTACTCTCAGTCTTGGCAGGCTACGGCAGCACTGGCTACGGATGGGGCTCCGGCTCATGGCCAAGCTCATCGACGATCAACGTGAACGCTTCCACCTTGCCGGAACTCCTTCCGGACTTCGTGCAGGGGTGGCTGCTCCTGCAGGACGCAGGGCTTGATGCGAATGAGAGAGGACTAGTCCTCACGACCGTGGGAGAGGACTTCCGTGTGGCGACTGTGGCCAACGCCCTTCGAGCACATTTTCCTGACGGCGACCTTCGAAGGCGAGATGGCGGAAAGAAGCAGCTTGGCTATTGGGGGAGTGTCGAGGACGAGTCCGACACCGAGGACTACGGGGACACCTTCCAGGCGGCCGAGGTGGCAGAGAACTTGAATGACGAGGGCTTCGCCATGTGGAATGACGCGCAGGATGAGATTGCGGAGGCGATGGCAGTGATCGGGACCGCAAAGAGAACACTCAAGGATGCGCGTGCTAAGCAGCACGCCGTGAAAATGTCTCGCCAATACTATCGGGTGAGCGGAAAGGGCAGCGGAAAATTCGGCAGTCAGCGCCGAACACCTGATGACAGCAACCTGATCTGCATGGGGTGTGGCCGTAAGGGCCATCGAGTGGCCAACTGCCCTAATCCTCAGAATCCTCCTTCAGCTCAGATGGCCGAGAACGAGACGGCCTCTTTCATCTGCTACTCGGAAGGACCTGCTGCACAGGAGACGGCCTATGCCACGGGGATCACTACACGTGAGGCGGTCCAGCAGGGGAAAGCGGTGATGGACTGTGGGGCCACAAGGAGTATCGGATCAGTGCTGGCCCTCGAGAAGCTGATGGAAATGAACATAGCACAGCACGGGGAGCCGCGAGTGATCGAGGTGGATCGCTCAGATCGCCCGATTTTCGGGTTCGGCAATTCCTCGACGGATCGATGTGCTTCTACCGTGAAGATGGGCATCCAAGCGGGGAATCGCCAAGGAGTTTTTCGGATCCACGCGCTGAACAAAGGCGACGGCCCAATCCTGATGAGCATAGAGGCAATGACCATGCTGGGCGCCCTCGTGGACTTTAGCGCCAACCTCGCGGTGTTCAGGAAGTTGGACCCGACCAAGCTTATCCCGATTGAGCGGTCCGCCACCGGCCATATGCTAGTGCCGCTGTCCGGTGATCTTTTTAAGAAGGCTATCCAGGCTGTACAGACCATCCCAGGCCTGGAGATTTTCGTGCCGAAGGCTACCGAAGAGTAGGGACATCACCTCTCCGACTCGAGTCCTGACGAGAAAGGAGAGGACCGCATAGTCTCAGGACAGGGGTTCCAGAGCGAGGGTCCCAGAGGACTTGTCGCTCAGTCAATCATGAGTGATCCTGGAAGTAGAGATGATGAGAGTAGATGTAGGTTGAGTCCAGATTCAATTTCTGACACTGCCAGTGACACCTGCAGAGCAAGAGAGCACAACCACCACCTCCTTGGGAATGTGAACGTGATCTCCACATGCTCGCAGCCGTTAGCAAGCCAACCTCGAAGCACCACCGACTCCCCATCGATAGCACAACATGAGCGGCACCGTTGCGGAGATGCGCAAGTTGCTCGAGGAACATGGGGAACAGGTTCCCAAGCAGTGGACCAAGGTGGAGCTCCTCCAGAGGATCGAAGAGGTCACTGGCCGCGACCTCACCCGGGAGAAGAAGTCGAGCGCAACGGAGGCGTCGGAGTACCGTGTGCTGGTCCGCGACCTGAACCAGGCCTCACGGCGCAAGGCCGAGCTCCAGAAGTTCTGCGCCGAGCGGCTGAACATGAATGTGAACCACAACCTGACGATTGCCCAGCTCCAGAAAGATGCTATGGCAGTCATTGCGTCTCGGACGCCACCCGAGCCGGCCGATTTCGTGGGATTCGGCAAGCATGCAAGTCTCTCCTATGCCCTTGTGAAGGAAAATCACCCCGAGTACTGCCGATGGGTAGTGCAGACGGCCCGGGAAGGACAGTGCAACCCCAGGCTGTTGCGCCTGGCAGGGTGGTTGGAGAACGACGTGGAGAAGGTGCAGAGGGCCCAGAAGGAGATTCGCGACGCCAAGACGATCAGCGAGGCGAAGGGCATGTTCGAGGGCTACCCAGTGTTGCAGGAACCGGTGACACCCAGAGGATCAGCATCGAGCAGCACGATGGAAAGCGGGAGACGCCGAGTCGCCGTAGCACGATCCAAGGCAGCCAGCCGGAAGGAGACCGAGACCGCGGACGAGGACGTGAAGATCTCCAAGGACCAGTTGGCCGCGCTCATCACCACGATGGAGACTTTGAAGGACGAGGTGGCCAGTTTGAAATGCGAGAGGCCCCGCAAGAAGGTGACGTCCGAGGAGAGCGAGGATGTGAGCTTGAAGAGTTTCTCCCTGGCGAGCTCCCCATGAGTGATGGGGAGTGGCCCTTCCGCGAGGCGGAGCAGGACTCCGTCAGTATGAGCGCTTCAGAAAGGCTGAGTAGGAGGCTTAGCTTAGGACGCGCTAGGCAGCTTGAGCAACTTTCTGATAGTGTGGTTCCCAAGGTCTTTGAGGGTTTGGTGGTTCAGGATCGAAGGGTTTTGCTAGAAGTTGCTGATGATGCCAACAGTATTCTTTCGGCCACTGTGCAGTGCGTGGCGGGACGGCCCGACGCCGCGTGCAGATGCACACCACAGGACAAATGTGACCTGTCGACTTCGGAAGGGGTTCGTTTGGTGATTCAGCAAATTCAGATGGAGAAGCCTAGGCATGTGTGGATTTCGCCTCAAGGGAGCGCGTTCTCACCATATCAAGCCCTGAACCAGAAGACCCCTGAACAACAGACCCAACTTAAAGCCCAGAGACGAGAAGCCTTGCGTAAGTACCAAGGAGCCGCTGCGATTGTGTATGCTTGTGTCCAGATGGGTATACATTGCACTTGGGAATGGTCGGAGGGTTGTAACGGATGGAGATTGCCGCTGATTCAGGGGATGATTAAGAAGTGCGGTTTGCAGGTGGTGTGTGTGAAGGGCTGTCGTGTGAATTTGCTGGAGTCGAAGGAGGGGTTGCTTGTGAGGTCTGGATGGAAGTTAGCAACCACGTGTAGTCGTCTTGCGCAAGCTATGGATTTGCCCTGTAGATGTTCTTCTGACTACAAGCACGGAACCTTGGCCGGTAGAGACACTTCCCTCATGAGACGCTATACCCCCGAATTCTGTAAGAAAGTTGCGGCTGTGATGAACCAAGAACTGAGCATGGCACAGCTGGCCCAGGAGTTGAGGGGTGAAAGCTTCTTGAGTGAAGGGTTCGGCGAAGGATTACAGTGTCGTTGTCATGAGGTGAGTGTGCCAGATTGTCCGAGAACATGTTACATGTGTCTTCAGAGTTCGGAAACCCCAGCCCAGGTGGAACCTCAGGTGGAACAGGTGGGGATTGGAAGTACTGAAGTGCATGGGATCCAGGTTTCAGGGAATTCAGAAGTCGAGAGCAGGGATGAAGTGTCCCTGGAGGAGTTTGAGGCGTTCATGAGTCAAGAACAGATACATGAAGTGGAGGCCCAAGCCCGAATCCTGATGGAAAGGCAGGACTGGGGACAAGAAGCATGCCTGAACCTGCTCCGAAACCTTCCCTTTAAACCCCTGAGCAAACACCGAGGTATGCTAGGAGACAAACGTGCTGTTTACGTTGCCTTGGGAGTGTACGCTTATGGCAATCACTACGGAATCACGAACAGATCCATGCTGTTTCCGAGGTTGCGCAAGTACCTGAACCGTTTCATGGAAAACTGGTCCGGAGGCCCCTTCTGTAAGTCGTCGTTGGTTGTTAGTTGGAACAACTTACTGCCTCTCCACCGAGACGCGAACAACGATAGTGCCTACAAGAACCATGTGATAGGACTAGGAACATATCAACACGGGGAGCTGTGGCTCCAAAGCACGGACGGTGGAGCGCAACGCCGGCAGCTTCCTTCTGGAGAATGGATCCAAGGCGGGCTCCATGATATTAAGGGCAAGGTGTTGAAGTTTTCTCCGACATTGTGGCACCAGACGCAGAAGTGGAGTGGTGAGAGATTCACGATTGCGGCGTTTGTGTCACGAGGGTCACACTGTTTGAGTCAGGAACAGAGGGAAAGAGCGAAACAATTAGGATTCACCCTGCCTCCCGTGGCCCGTGGTAAAGCGGAAATCCAACCTGCACAAGCCATGACGGCGGAAACTCAGAGCAAGAAAGAAGACGAACTGATCATGAGACAGCTGTACAAGTTGCATTCGGCTACTGGACATGGAAGTGTTAAAACCATGATCGATGCCCTAAAAAGGCGAGGAGCTCCCCAAAAGGTGCTGGATGTGGCGAGCCGTTTTGTGTGTTCTGCATGTCAAGAAAGGAAGCGACCGCCACCCCGACACTTAGCATCCTTGGAGTTGTTGCCACCCCGATGGCACACCATTTCAGCTGATGTGGGTCACTGGACTCACCCAAGGAGTGGAGAGATCGTCCAGTTTCTGTTGATCATTGATGAGGGTTCCCGTTTCAGAATTGCCAAGGTGTTGAGCAAGGGAAGTAGGCAACAACCGTCTGCCGCGAACTGCTTGGAGTATTTGAGGGAAGGATGGATTCAGGTGTTCGGACGACCCGACGTTCTTAGATTGGACCCTGCGGGATCATTCAGAGGGCAACAGGTTGAGAATTTCTGTGACAGACATTCCATATTCTTGGACGTGATACCTGCGGATGCCCACTGGCAGATTGGCGTGTGTGAACAGGCGGTTAAAGGGATCAAACACGTGATGGAAAGAGCCTGTGCGGGGGATGAACAGTTGACCTCTGAAGAAGCTCTCTCCTTAGCCGTTGGAGTGTTCAATAGCCGTGAACAGGTGCGGGGCTTCACCCCGATCCAACATGCATTCGGCCGGAATCCTGATGTGACCGGACGTCTCATAGCCCGTCCGGACCAGCTGCCCGATGAACTATTGGTGGAGAACGCCGTGGATGACTTCGCCAGGGCGGCACAAAGCCGCGCAGAGGCGGAGAAGGCCTTATGTGATTGGCAGGCTAAGCAGCGCATCAGCCGTGCTATGAACTCTCGGAGTAGGCCGCAAGCTACGTACCACCCTGGGGATTTGGTGTTCTTCTGGAGGACACAGGAAAGTGGAAAGAGCAGACGAGCTCCTGGCACCAGCCATGGGCGATTCCTGGGACCGGCACGCATATTGGCTACGGAGGGACGCCGAGAACCGGACGGCTCTCACCGTCCGGGCAGTGCCATCTGGTTGGTACGAGGAAGGTCACTCTTGAAATGTTGCCCGGAGCAACTAAGGCCAGCGTCACCTCGAGAAGAACTTCTGGAAGCACTGGCAGCTGGCCGTCAAGGCGAACAGACCCCGTGGACCTTCCAAAGGATCGCTGAGGAGATAGGTGGAACTCGCTATGAAGACATTACGGGAGAGAGACCAAGCCCCTCTGAGTGGCACCGGGCACAGGATCCTATGGAGGAGACACCTCCCACCAGGTTTCGAGTGAGAGGCAAGAGACCGGCACGTGAGCCGGATGAGGAGCTTCTCATGGACCTGGAGGATGAGGAGGACGAGCCGTCCCAGCCAAGCCGACCGAGCCGGCCACGCACCACGGGCCCGCAGGGTCTGCAGACAGAGCGGCAGGAGGCTTGGTGGAGCAGACTGTCCGATGAGAGCTTCCCGGAGGCATCCAGTTTCTGGACGGATGCTGAGGCAGCCGTCGAGGTGGCTATTGACATGCCATCTACCAGTCGAGGAGTACAGGGAGCTTTGAAGAACTTATCTGGATACTTCGTGAGCGCGCTTAAGCGGAAGGCGATTGAGGTCAGCGAGAAAAGACTGAATGAAGGCGACCGGGCCTCTTTTCGGGAGGCCAAGGCAGTGGAGGTCAAGAACTTCGTGGCCTCACGAGCCTTCGAGGCCTTGCCGCCCGAGGTGAAACCGGACAAGTCACAGGCCATGGGCATGCGCTGGATCCTGACTTGGAAGACCCGTGAAGACGGGAGTCAGAAGGCAAAGGCGCGAGCGGTCCTGTTAGGCTATCAGGACCCTGCCTATGCTCATCGCTCTACAACTTCACCTGTTATGACGCGTCAAACGCGTCAGATGTTACTCCAGACAGCAGCTATTCGTAAGTGGGCAGTCTACAAAGGAGACGTTTCCGGAGCTTTCCTTCAAGGCCGCGATTACCCCGATCAACTTCTGTGCATCCCTTGCGACGAGATATGTGCTGCCATGAACCTCGAGGCCGGGAGTGTAGTACGACTAAAGAAAGCCTGCTACGGCCTTGTTGACGCGCCACTGGAGTGGTACCGAACGGTTGCCGAGTTCCTCGAGGCACAGGGCATGGAACGCATGTGGTCGGACGCTTGCGCGTGGGTTCTCCGGAAGGAGGGCAAAGTTGTCGGTGTCATCTCTGGACATGTGGATGATTTCCTCTTTAGTGGCGATGAGCAAGACGCTGACTGGCTGCACCTCATTCAGGCCGTGAAAGATCGGTTCCGCTGGGGTGATTGGGATAAGGATACCTTCGTTCAGTGCGGTGTGCAAGTGACTCGAGAAGGAAACTCCTTTAAGCTTTCTCAAGCCGCCTACGTGGAAAGTATTCCCGAGATCAACGTGAGTAGCCATAGGCGAAAACAAGAGAAGAATCACCCCACGACCCCTCAAGAAAAATCCAAGCTCCGAGGACTTTTGGGCGCCATAAGTTGGCATGCCCAACAAGTGGCACCACATGCTTCAGCTGAAGTAAGCCTCTTGTTGTCCGAAGTGACTGTGGGTACAGTTGAAACCATCCTCAAAGCCAACAAACTCCTTCATCAGGTGAAGGGCAAGAAGGACCATGCCATGATCATTCATGATTTCTCTGAAGAGGAACCTTTGGGGATGTTTGCTTGGGTTGATGCTGGGGCCCAAAACAGACCTGATGGAAGTGGAACTCAGGGAATCATAGTAGGGCTGGCTCCTCTCAGCATGCTGAAAGGAGACGTTGGAAGAGTGTCTCTGATGTCTTGGCACTCGAACAAGATCGACAGATGTTGTAGGAGCCCAGGAGCAGCTGAATGTCAAGCTGCCGTGAACGGTGAAGACATTTTATACTTTGCTCGTTACCAGTGGAGTGAGTTGTGTTTTGGGAACTTGGATGTTAGAGACCCCAATAGCTGTGTGATTCAGGTTCCAGGTACCTTAGTGACGGACTCGAGAAATGTCTATGACAAGCTAGCAACAGAGGTCCTGTCAATCAAAGGAGCCGAGCGGAAAGCTAACCTAGAGCTCTTGAGCGTGAAAGAGGCACAGATGCGCACTGAGCTACAAGTCCGTTGGGTCCATTCGGAGGCGCAGCTCGGGAACTCGCTCACGAAGCAGAACGGGGGTCACGAGTTGGAGCTGTTCTACAAGATGCGACATGCTTGGCGGATCGTTGAAGACCCAGCAATGAGATCAGCAAGAAAACGCAAAGCAGATGGAGTACCTCCCCTGGCCAGCCATGCAGACCAGTCACAGGTGGCAGTGGAAGAAATTGAATCAATTACTGAAGAAGCGATGTTCCAGGATCATGTCTATGATTTCTTTTGGTAGGGGAACCCCGAAGACCGGGGCATGCAAGCTTCTGAAGGCTTGTACGCTGCAGACGCTGATGTGTCCCGCAGCTTAGTGATCGAGGCACGCCGGGGTAGAGCAGTAAAAGCCCGCATCGCTTACGCCATTGCTGGAACACTGCAGAGACCTTTGGCAAGTTCGTTCATTGGCTAGGGCACTCACGACCGTTACCACTTGCAGGGCTTAGGGTTTAGGGTTTAGGGTTTAGGGTTTAGGTGGATTTGCAGTTCAGAGTTTTGGGACGGGAGGGCAGACAGTCAAGGGTTGAACAGAGGCTTGCAGAAGGAGAGTCCGCTTGAAGGCTATTTCGACCCAGTAAGCCTACGTAGTATTCACGATAACCCCCTTTCTACACTCCAACGTGACATTTTACTGACCCTACCTTCTGGTTGAAAAGAATCCCGAATTCACTAGTAGTTACTACTATGAAGCTCCCAGCATTTAGGGTCAGTCAGGGTGAGAATTGTTAAGAGGTTGGTTTAAGGGTTCCGTCCCCGAGGGGATCTTCACTGGGATCTATATGGCTGCACAGTTCATAGAGTGAGGGCATTGAGGCATGGGATCTTTTGGGGTTTCAGGCGTCAGTTCAGGGTCGAAGTCTTCGTGCTTTGAGGGCCTTTCGGGGCTGAGGGCTGCAGCTGAAGCGGACAAACGTCTAGCGTCTGTTTTAGCTGTATTTAGGGTTTAGGGTTTAGGGTTTAGGGTTTAGGGTTTAGGGTTTAGGGTTTAGGGTTTAGGGTTTAGGGTTTAGGGTTATTTCGCGGCAGGGTTCTCAAACTACATGTGCTCCCCGCGAAAACTTGCCAACAGCCCTCCGGCCCTCATTCACACCGAAAACCATGGCCTGCAAACGGCAGCGTTGCCGCAGCGCCCATCAGGAGGAGCTTCCTCCAGGATCGTGATGAAAGATGGTTTAGGGTTTAGGGTATGAAAGATGTGAGTAATGTAGAGCCCTGATGAACACAAGGGTTATAACACGGATCCTGGTATTTGGGGCTGTTTATCAGGGGTCTACATTATTGAAGGGCCTTCCCCAAAATCTTACCCTGACTCAAACTCTGCATATGGATTCGGGCTTCAGGCTTCTGGGTCGTAAAGCCTGCACAGTTTCGGACATACTGTAGGAACCTGATCGAGAAACCCTGGCCCTAACTCATATAAACAACCCTAATTAACGACCCAGGGATGCTTGATCAGGTTACTACATTACCCTGATCCGCCCCACCGTACACTCCGCTCCCGAACCCAGCCCCGAACCCTGAAGCCTACTTCCGACAAAGGAACCCTGAAACTTCGTGCCTGGCATCCGTCTTCTCCGGGCGTGCTGCTGCCCAAGGGTGGGGGTATAGGCCTCGAGTGCTTTTCGGGTTTGGGGGTTGAGGGAGGTTGCTCTTGTAGGATCTTAAACCTGCATCAGATCCTGCATCGTGAATCCGAAACTGGGCTCAGCGTTTCTAGAGCTCGAGCCATCACTACGTCTCTATCTCTTTACCAGTTAAGGGTTACGTGGCTATCCTGAACCCTAAACCCTAAAGTCTATAACGCTCAGTGTTCTGAGCGGTTTATTCGAAGTGGCTCGCGGTTTGGAGGTGAAGGTCTAGGCTCTGGGTAGAGGCTCTGGGTAGAGAGAGAGAGAGAGAGAGACGTGTATGTAGTAACTCATATAGGTATATACACGCACACCTATGTTGCTCTTTTTATTTACTGATACATATGTAATAACAATTGTATTACTACAATTCAAAGAACCGCCTGCCTCCCTAATGGGCGGTAGCCCATCATGGGCCCCTGTTCATGTCAGCTCGGTAGGGGTCCAAGCGCTACTGATCATATACTCGCCCAAACACTAGTCTTACAGCACTATCGTCCTAAGCCCAAGTATCCGGCTATGAGGCGCTGTTGAACTAAAACCCTGGGCAATCCTCGTGGGGGCCCCTGACTACCTGCTGTGTAATTACTTTGGACCCTCGGGTTTGCCAGCCGCTCTTGCGCCAGAGCTCCAGCGCGAGCACGCAGCCGCCCCGGCCCCGTTCCAATCCATCGCGGCGCCCGCGGAAGCGATGGCGTCAGGGATGCCATGTCGCTTGAGGGCTCAGATAGGGTCTTGGGCTTTTTTAGTTTTGCGGCTTGTGGGGCTGGGCGGTTGGGTTGTATGGCTTTGGGCTTTGGGATTGTGGCTCAGGGTATGAGGCTTGGGTTCCTCTTGGGAGTCTCGGAGTTGATGATTCAGGGTTGAAGTCTTTACCACATTAAGAGTCCCTACTGTTGCAGAGTCTTTCGGGTCTAGGGTTTATAGGGTTTAGAGCAAGGGTCCCATTTTTCAGGTTCTCTCTGTCTGTGGTTCACGGCTGTGTGAGGTGAGGGCTTCAGTGCAAACACGATCTAAGCGGCCGGGCTATGGGGCTTAGGATGGAAGCAACGAATGGTTACAGCCACAGAGCATATGCAAGAACTCATAATGGACAGCTACTGACTACCTGAAACGACACGTATAAGGTACATTAGTCATGGTCTACTATATGACACTACCCGAGACTAAGATACAGCACCACGAACATTTAGTCGCTGCGAAGTCATGTCGTACAATGCATCGAGCAATCAAAGAATGGCATACTGGCAGTTGTGACAACAAGCAGCCATGATGATAAAAAGCCCCCGGTCCTACATTCATGTGTATGTAACACCAACATGTACATCAACGGTGCTTGCACATATGCTTGTGAGCATGTGTGTGCATATATACACATAAATACATATATATGTATAGGTATACATATACAAATATATATATATATATATATATATACACACACATATATACGCATGTTTGTATCCATCTTTGTTTCAGCTATTGATATATTGATGTATTTCTTTGTCTACTTATATAGACAGCAACACCGGTGCACTTTCGCACATCTGCGCTCCACGGCTTGGTGGCGAGACCTCTGAAAGCCATCCGCGTCTCAACCCCTCGGCTCGCACTCAGAGGCGAGGGAGGGGGGAACTCAAAGAGGCGAAGAAGTCCGAAAACCCTTGCGAGTTTCAGCGTGCTTGTGCCGACTGGGATCATCGACGGCAAGTTTGCGAATTGAGCCGGAAAAGCTCTTTTGGCAGTAAAGGCGAGCTCTCTTTTCGAAAGAGTTAGAGGCACTCGTCGGCTCGGCTCTGGCGTGGGGGATGCCCGAAGGCACAACCTACCCCTTTCACTTTGACAGAAGACAATCGAAGGCTGCCTAAGCTTCAGGCGCCTTGGCGGTCTGACCGAGGAGTCAGATCAGAGAAGTGTCCGCATTTAAAAGCCCATACTCTGGTAGGAACTTAAGTGGTTATGAATCGGTGCTTCTAGGGGAGCTTACTGCCCCGAGGGACATCTTAGGGTTCGAAGCGTCACCCTAGTCAGCTCTGAGACCGGAATCCCAACCACTTTGGGCTTAGGGCGGAGGGCCTTGAGGCTGGAAGATTGACTGTGGATACCAACGAACTGCACCAGGAGACTACAGCCCACAACTTCGGTGTTAGGGTGTCGGGGACTTCCCAAAACCCTAAAGCCGCGGCCAAGGGCGTAAAGCGTGCCGGTGGGGTGAGAGTGCACGTCTAGCAATGCTGGGTGGCCCGGGTCCGTACTGCGTTGAAGATGGAACCACCATCTTCTCAAAGCTGAGGCTCAGGATTTCTAGTTCTACCTAGTTCTAGGTCTTAGGTGTATGATGGTTGGGCAGATGATGCGGTTGCTCTAGGCCACGGTGTCGCCCATCGGAGCACCTGCGGAAAAGCCGTCCCAAGCAGCGAATGCTCTTCTGAGAACTCGGGCTCTGCAAACCTAGGGCCTCGGAACACAGCGCCCTGCACCCCTGGATTCGAAGAAGCTCCGATTACACAGAAGTCAGTAGCCTGCCGGGGTTTGAGGTCTTCCAGTTATCCTGCCTGCTCATCCGAATAGCCGCGCTGGGAACTTTGGCTTGGACCCCCTGAATCACGGGCTCATCGAAATTTCGGAAACCTATTTTCTGGCTTCGCAAAAGCAACCCGGAATCTGAGAGCAACAAGCGACGAGTCGACGGGATAGATTGCTGGAAAGATGATGACTTCGCAGCCGTTTCTCCGGATGGCTTGGGCCTCCGCTTGAAACCGCCCAAAACCCCTAATCCCTAAAACCTGGCCAATCGTTGTGACGACGTCACGACGGCCGGCGTGCGTCAAGTAGTACAGGGTCTCATTATTAAGGCCCGATGCGAGGCATTGGACCCAAAGAGAAACCCAGGCATGAGAGAGAGGAAGAAGCGGCCGAGATTTCCTGATTCTGGAAGTCTAATACCCAGCTGCACAGGTTTCAAGGATGTAAACAAACCTACGTCTATACACGGCATGTGCTGGTTTATGATAGAGTCAGATAGAGGTGAAGTAGTGCAGCTTAAGCTCTTGATCTTCTGTTTATGTGGAAGGTTTTCACTAGACCCAAACACCCCAAGCTTTGTCCGTCTCGGCTTGTGCGCCCGAGCATAGTGCGAGCTGCAGCAACATCCAAGCAAACCGCCTCAGAGCGTGCAGGAGCAACTCCCTGCCACTGGAAGCCCTGGAGGCTTATGAGTTGGCTTCTGCAGAGCCTTGACTCGAATTTGGTATCGATGGCCTTCCCAATTTTAACGCAAGTCTTCCACCGGAATGTCTTGCCGACGAAGCACGGGTCGACGTGGAACTTCGCAAAGGTTCCATCGGGCCGTGGCCTTGTGCCAGAAGAAGCAGAAGGGCCTCGGCCTTTAGGCTCTCACACCATCACCATACGAGCTTCCGGGTACCTTATTTTGGGGTCCTTATAATAAGGATCCTGCTGTTTAGAATATACTATTTTAGGGTCCCTAATGAGTACCTTCTCTGGTCATGTTGGTTTGCGGAAAAATGATCTGAGAGGGAACAGACTCTGTAGCTGCAGATTCCATGGCGACAGGGGCGAAGGTCACGAGGTGCCACCGGGTCGAGTGGCGACGGACGTCGGTGCTGTGCTTAAAAGACACGTGGGTGTAGTGTCGATTTAGGGTTCCGGCTGGGAGTTTAGGGCTACTTGGGAAGCCGACTCTGCGTGGGGCAAGGCGGGCTCTGCGCCAGAATCGCTTGAAAGTTGATTGCGGCCCTATAGGGCTTTGTTTGCCCGGTTTGCAGCACAGATGGCACTCTTCGGCCCTGCAACCATGGCTATAGGGTTCCCTGTCGGAATGGGCTACGGCCTTCGAAAACAGAGATACCAGATGCGACGCTGCTTTTCGCTGGCTTTGTGCCAGATAGACTGCGCGATGCCACGTCTTATCCCCTCACGGGGCCAGGCATTTGTGCCAACTCACCCTCTCCGCGGCTCCTGAGGTAAAGGAACCACGGGCTACTCGAACTCGAACTACGCCATGAAACGACCTCTGGGAAGGCCAAAGTCTGCCTGACGGAACCTTGAGTTCACGACAAGAACTGACCTCGAAGTTTACGGACTTCAACTCGCAGCCTCTTGGGATTCTTGTTAGGAAGGGATAAGCCTGGCTTTGTGCCTCTACATCCAAGGAGGCGCGCAACAGTTGTAGAGGTCTTGGCTTTGTGGCGGTGCCCCTGCGAAAACCACGGCTTCCCGGAAAAGCAGGATGATGCCGGAGACAAGCCCGGGGGGACGCGTTTACAAAGACTGTCTCAGTCGTAGCCTATGCGTGATGTCTGAAATCGACCTCAATCCCAGAGCCTAGAGCCCTAGATCTGACTCCCCAATCCCCGATGTCTGGAACACTGGCCAGATCAGCTGATCAGCTCCGAAACAATGAAGTGCCAGCACAGATGCTCTGAGAGATCCGGCGGTGCGCTTGCCGGTGAAGGCCTTCAGGAAACTGCGTTCGAAAGCTCAGGTCTAAGCCGCCCATAAGCTGTGCCATGCAAAAGCCTCCGGTTTCGGACCATCGTCTTTTCTTGCCATTTCTCCGACACGATAGTTCTGCTTCGGCCTCTGCGCCTGAAGGGACACTGATCCTTTGCATCAACGGAGGGTCCAAGAACCAGCTGTACGGCGAGAGTCTAGCCCAAAACATAGGTTATCCCGGCATCGCCTGGAAGCTGATGCCATCGTCTTCACACATCCTCAATCTTTGCAGGCAGACACGTCGCGTCGCGTGCAAGTCAGCATCACTGGGCGCATGGAGACGCGTCGCACGGCAGGGAAAAGCATGCTGTGGGAAGTGCGGGGGCGTGTCAGATACGGCCCGGGCAAGCGAATCTCATGTGGAATGGAGAGAAGCCGACCGGAAAATGCCACTTCAATGTGCAAGTGAGCAGTGCGAGATGTCGCACTGAACCAGCGATAATGTCCGTTTTCGCTGCAAGTGCATTTCGCGACAGGCTCAGCGGCTCAACGCGCCGGAGGAAGCCACTTCTCAGTGCAACACCATAGCCAGGCACAGCAATCGCCAAGTCCTCTAAGTCACGGATACGGGGCTAGACTCTAGACCCACTTAAGGCTTGATTGTTTTTAACGCCACATGCTCTGCCGCACCGCCAGGCAGCTCAATCTGGGACGACATACATCCTTTTTTCGCCCTTGCCAGGCTCTGATTCTGGAAAACTGACGGCATTGAGGCTTTCGGGTTCAGGGCTTCGGGCCTCATTAGCGCGAAGCCTAAAACTCATTGTTTCTGCGGTGCCCAGGGAGAACAGATGTGTTTGGGTCGACACGATGAGCTGTTGCTACGGTCTCGCAACACGATCACGGCTTAAGGCTTCTGAGGCCTTGGCAAAGCAAAGGAGGAACATCACTGTCAGGCCGTGACCGGTGAACACACGGCTAGCAATTACCCCGGCCATCGGAGGCCAAAAGTCGAGGGTGTAGAGATTGGCTAGGAGACTCTAACCCCCTAAGCCGCAATTATGCTTTGAAGCTTCGGCAGCTCGGCAAAGGCTGGGCCAGGCTTTTGGAAGGTCTCCTCCTCCCTCGGCTTCTGCGCCTGATCCTTTGCATCAACGGAGGGTCCAAGAACCAGCTGTACTGCGAGAGTCTAGCCAAAAACATAGGTCATCCCGGCATCGCATGGAAGCTGATGCCATCGTCTTCACACATCATCAATCTTTGCATGCAGACATGTCGCGTCGCGTGCAAGTCAGCATCACTGGGCGCATGGAGACGCGTCGCACGGCAGGGAAAAGCATGCTGTGGGAAGTGCGGGGGCGTGTCAGATACGGCCCGGGCAAGCGAATCCCATGTGGAACGGAGAGAAGCCTACCGGAAAATGCCACTTCAATGTGCAAGTGAGCAGTGTGAGATGTTGCGTTGCAGAAGCACTGTCTGCTTTCCTTGCAAAGGCTGTGCACGACAGTCTCAAAACATGCAAGGAAGCCACTTCTCACCGCAGCACAGCAATGGCTGAGTCCTCTGCTAAGTCGCAGGTTAGGGGCTGCTCCGACGTATATGTCTTCGCAATGACACCATATTCAATCCCATGGCCGGCCTTACTGGCGTTTGAGCTCACTATTACGAACAGATCAGCCGATGGACGGGGTTCACTTGGTTGCAGGGCTGCGGATGCCGCGACAAGTTGAATTAGGTGTTGGGATCTCTTTCACTCGGTGAAAACCGCTGGCATCAGCTTCTCAAGCAAGCAGACAGCAAGTCCCAGTGGTATTCATCAACACTCCTACTAGAACACTGTAAACCCCAAGCCCTCGACCATGTCAACCCTACGCCAAACCTTTCACACTTGTGTGCGATGTGGGGTTTCGCCTCGAAGCACTCAAGGTCGTGCACCTACCCATCTTGCAAGGTTGGCTGGGGCATCCTACCCACGACGGCCTGGCCAAGGACAGGGCGAACTGTTCTGGGCAGATGAGATGCATCTTGCGTAGACTTTCTCGCCACGGCCAACAGAAGGCTGGGGTTCACAAGATAGGCAGTTCACGCGTTGAAGCGCCGAAGGTGTGAGGCAGTCTGGAAGGGAAACGGCTACTGTCTGTGAGGCTTGCTTCGTTGCCACCGGAAGTCAGTCAGGGCCAGGGAATCAATCATCACTATCATCTGCTGCCACCTATCCGGCTATGCGCGATGCAACAACTTCCCAACAATGTGGCCATCAGCCCAACAGTCATCATTCTGGCCTACCGCAACCTCAGAACTCTGACCGGCGGGTCCTATGAAGTGGAGCTTGGGCTGGGCATGGCTCCGCTTCTCGCGGTTTGCGGAGCTACACGGCCAGATAGTTCAGCCTGCACGGCTACCCCCTGTCTTGCGGTTGCAACGTGAGGACAAGGGTCGGCTGCATGCAGGCAGGGATTTAGCAGCCCCATCGGTGCCCTGCGGACGGACCTGGCTTTTTCCTGCTCTCTCACACCAAACTGAGGTCGCACTGTGTCTGCTAGAGCTTGTCTGCGTACTCCCGGCAGGCTGTCGTCTGCGACTGGGTTTCGGACTAGACGAACGCATCCCTTGAGCACGCCATGCAGGGCCACGAACCCAACTTTCTCCTTTACGGCTTCTAGAAGGGGACTGTCCATCTGAAGGTTCCAGAAGGAGCGCTGGGATAAGACCACGGCTTTGACAGAAGCAAGAGCCTTCATTGCCACGCCCGAACCATGAGCCGACCTGCAGAAACCGACTGCTTTCGACCTCAGGTGCGGTAGCAGCTGGCTGCGGTGGGGGACGTAAGCAAGACATCTGCGGCGATCCGGGCAAGGGATCATCACAGCATGCGAGGAGTAATCCGAAGACCTCCTGCATCGGCCTCTGGATGTAAAATAAGCCAGGATGTGGCGACCATGGCCAGATCAAGATCGGAAGTCTCTGAGAAACTCCTTTGCAAGCTCGGTGAAACACACCCAAACCCTAGCCGAAATGCGGAAGATGGATTTCGACGGGCTTCTTCGTCAGATGCCGCCAGCGCTCAAGTCAGCGGGCCGGGATATCCAGAGCTTTCAGTGCGCAAAACCTCCCTGGGCTTGACAGCCTCCGCCCGAAACCCGAAACTTGGCCCTCAAGCCTGCCCCCTGGCGCTGAAAGATTCGGAGATGTGGTCCGAGCTTTAGACAGGCGCCCTGTGCCGAAGAGAATCTCATGGCGAGTCTTCTAAGGGAACTTGCATTGCTAGCGCCAATCCGGTATGCTTAGGGTTTTGGGTTTTCGGGCTTGGGGTATACTTGCCAGCCCCGGCTGCAACCCGAAAAGCTCCACATGTCGAGGCATGTTGCTTTCTCGCAAAGCCGCTGGCAAAGAAGGCCAGTCGGCGCAACACATTAGAAACCCTAAAGCCTAAACCCCCTAGAGGCTCAAACAGATAGCCTGAATCAGCAGCAGGTTCTATCTGAAGCTTCCGGGGTCGACTACCACAGACTGACATCAGAAGCTGCATCAACACACGGTCCATGCGAGAAGACGCAGATCTAAGGCTGCTCTCTCAATACCAGGGCAAGAGGCATCATAGGAGACCCTGCCTCCGATAACTTCCATGGATAGACCCTGCATACAGCCCTCCAGCTCCACTTAGCTACGTCGCTGTACCCAGGGCGAAGGGACGGACCTTGGGACAAGCAGGTCTCGCTGGGATCATGCTTATGAAAGAAAGAACAGCAATCAGAAAGCAGATGGAACTGTGAGCTGCGGATGTCGGGGCGTCAGGGAGAGGTATCGGACTCGGAAGCTGCTCTACATCAGGTCGCTCTTGGCATCTGCCCTGCATTGGAGCAGCCCCCATCCCTGCCAAGGTTTCCGAGGGCCGTCATCTGAGACAGAGATTTCTCCAAGTTTTTGAGCCCCTGAAGTCATGAGCCCCAGGGAAAACTCCTACGTTGGCCCTATAATTGGAGCAGCTCC